CTACGGTGATGATACATACTAGGTACACACGTAAATTTTCAGGACTTCAATAAATATCCTGTCACAGTGAACAGACAATGCATCGTGGGCAGACTAGGATGAAAAGGATGGTGTCGACCACCTAATTTATCGGGTCAGTTCGGGCACTTAGGTATGCTACAGATTATACATTCGTGTCCACAAGGAAGAGACAAAAACATGCAAACGAAAGAATCTCACCTGTAGCCCACAGCTGAACATCCCCACAACTCAGGTCACCAAGTGAATACGTCATCTACATCTTCCACGGTGGACTCATCACTTTGGCAGTCATCTCTGTCAAGCTCCATCATCCTTTACTTCGAAGGCCAAGGCACAAAGTATTATTACTTAGAAAAACAAAACGCTGACACTGGATTCGTTGTGTGCAGGATAATTTTATTGAGTTTTCAAATTTTTTGGACCAAACAGCGAACGCGTCCTTTTGCATGACCTGCGCCGCTTTGACCTCATGGGAAGTCCCTCGCCATGCAGCGCGTGAGGTCTCAGCACTCGTGCCCGAGCTGAGGCAATCATCCGACGCGGTTGTGCATCTCGTGTCGCCTCCCGGTATTTTACGACTCCCTGGTTACTAGTAACGGCGGAAGTGTCGTAAGGTCACACATGCACTGGGGTTCACTTCGGCGTCGAGGTTCTGCGGCAGCAAGCCTGGTGTTGCTCCAGCGAAACCACATGTGTATGGTCACACATACAAACAGGGCAAACTCCTACTTTGGCGGAAAATGAGAAAGTGGACTGTGGTGCATACGGTACAGAGAATAGACGAGGTCAATGACTATCTTGCACGCATTAATTGTTGCATGGACATCATACGCCGCCAAATTTCTCGTAGCAAGTCCATATACAGCAGACCGTGGTGTTTTCCGCTGAAGCGAAACCGCAGAAGCGAGTGTTCCGCTCCCAACATTTTGGGTGCAGCGGATTTTGAGTTTCCGCTGGAGCGGAAGTTCCGCTTTTCGCCGTTGCCATGGCATTTTCGCTCCTGCGACGTCACTTCAGCGGATCCGCTACTTTTGAGTTCATGTGTGACCGGGCCCTAAGCCTCACCAAATCATTTCCTTTAGAACAGGTACATGCAGTTTAAATACGGCTGGTCCCAATGAAGGTATTCTGAGAATTCACTGGCCACTGCACTTCGATCCTGATTATGATTCCCCCTGTCCTATGTACACAGGTGAGGCCATGGAGCTGGCGTTACGTGACTGCTGCCAGTCCATCCGCATTGGAAAGCTACTAATCAAGAGAAAGAATCCCGACGAGGAGCCGACCGTAAGGGCACCCCTTTTTCCATTTGCTTGTGTTTCGAAGTGCATTGCACCCCTGAGTCGGGGGTGCTTTTGTTCAGCTGAGCTTGTAGTGCAGCACATTGCTCTTGCTGTGATGTCATGGCGGCCAGGCAGACATGTGTGCAGCACTTCACTTACCTGTACCAGTATTTTCTTTTCTTTTCGGTGAACTAGTTCACAAGCATGATAACTGAAAAGATGACATGATAAAGATGTGTCATTGAATTTATGCTGAAAGCCGCCAAAAAGCAGAACCCATTGTTTACCAGTAACGGTTCGTTATGATTGGTTTTTGTCAATACATGCACACTGTATTTCACTTCCACTGGCTTATGCCAGATTTACCCGCGCTCAGCGAAATGTGAATGCATGGCAGCCACGTGATAATCTGTGTTTTGTGATGCAGGTTTTTTATGCCAAGCTTCCACCGGATGCTCATGAACGTGCTGTGTTCCTTATGCATCCCCTTCTTGGTAAGGGCCAGGTCCATTGGTTCATTTAGCATGAACGCCACACGAATGCCCCTTTGATTTGGCCTAGCTTTCAAAGGCGGAAATCAGGAGGTTGGGATAATATCCCAACCTTATTATTATTACTCAATCTGCGGACAGCAACCTTATTATTATTATTTTGTGCTCTGTTAGTGCTGTTTGGGTTTGTCTTTGATCAAAGAGTGCACCACTCCCCAGAGTGTGCAACCACTGGGATGGGTAGCTTTCACGTACAGTATATGTTTTCAGTAGAGCTGAAACGATCGTGATGTTTCCTTAGTGGATTAGCTGATACCGTATAGGCGGGAATAGAAGCCGCGGGGCTCTTTTTTTCCAGAAGACACATCGAGGGGGGTTATATTTGAGAGAGGGCTTTATTCGAGAGGGGGCTTTATATTTTAAAAGAAATACCAATTGTTTCACACTATTCATGTTGATCAGTACATGCAGTGACTACACTCGATCGTTGTACGGTTAAGTACCCGTAACTGCACTGCATGGTACGGACATTCCGCACTCGATTATAGCCTGGGCTTTTATATGAGACGGGGCTTTATTATTCCAATTCCCTCTGACACACGGGCTCTATTTGAGAGGGGGCTTGTATTCGAGCGCGTACGGTATGAACTTTCAGAATTACGTTATTTTTCCAATGGTGGAATCAGCTCTTTGCATACATACAGGATGCAAGACCGTCCGCACGCAATGCGGAAAGTGAATGGCTCATAAATTAGTCATAATTGTCACTGTAAGAAATAATCTGATCATGCGATGAATTTATTTTATGTCTCCATCTTTTTTTCACTCGCAGACACCGGCGCATCTCTGTTGAAGGCGGTGGCGCTACTCAAGGAAAGGAGAGTGCCAGAGTCCAGTATCATCATTTTGAACCTCTTCTCGACTGATGAAGGTAAAAGATGGCCGTTTGTGTACAGGAAGTAATACGTCTGCATGTTTGTGCTGTTTAGCGTTTGCCGCTGGGGAACTGTGCTTTGCACTTACGGATACGTGCTTGAGATACGTGCTTGAGATACGTGCTTGAGGTACGTGCTTGAGAGATGTGCTTGAGCCTGTGTTCAAGCCCCATGGTGCACCCGCTGGTACCTCTGTTCAAGCTGGGAGGGGGAGCAGGTTTCAATACGGCAACCTAAGTTAGGCTTCAATAAGAGAGAAGGGATGTTGATGCGCATGAGTCGCATGCTTCCATGTTGTCTGACTGGATTGACCAAAGCAGCATTGGTTGGCTGGGCTAGTCACATAGGCAGTTACAACATTGTAGTTCTGCACGCTCCAGTGCTCTCCCATCTAGCGCGTGTGCTCACTGTCCTGTCTGTCTGTTTCTTGGACACTCAGTGTACAACTTTTCTTGTGTGTGTGTGTGTCTGTGTCTGTGTGCGGTTTTGTTTTGTTTTGTTTCCCAGGAATTCGCTCTATTCTGGACGTGCATCCGGATGTCCGGATTCTCACCACCGAAATTGGAACCGCGTGTCCGAGTCACTTTGGTCAGATATACTTTGGTGCTCGCTGAGTCAAACGTTGCTGCACAGCACTACGTCCAGCGTGTGGATGCGACCAGCAGGTGTGCTACTTGCTAGAATCTGCTTGAGCTACGAAGCTTTTGGTGATATTGCCAAGAAAACATGGAACCCCAACCTCTTGGGGCTGACCGAAAAGAAATTGCTAGTGCTGGTTTTTCCTGTTGTCGAAATTGGCATACGGTGTTGGAGTCTTACATCAGTATGTCTGTTTTTCCCTCGTGATGTTCGTGTTACGATATCGTTCGCAAGGTATTTCCGTCCTGTCTGAGTCAATTCCGCAGTCCAGCTGTCCACCTGCATGGTTACATTGCTGCGGCTAGCTTGCCACATACACCGTCGCTCCATGCCTTTCCTAGCGCCATCGGGTTTAGCACTGTGCCAGTCGCTGCCGGGTGCTGCCCTGTCCTATGCTGGGTCCTCGTGTCCCCACTGCCCACCCTGCCTAGCTTGGATTGCTTACAAGTGTGCAGCAGCGCATGCGCTATGCCGTTGCCAAGTTCACATGCTTGTGAATCCTTATGAGAGTCCCATCCTGCTGATAGGCGCTGTCCCCATAGATGTTACCAACTGGGTAGCTAGCTGTTTGGATTTTAATGACCCCAGTCACACCCTGTACCAGGCTTCAATGTGCTCATACCACATTGTTATGTTTTGCCACCATTCTGTGGCTAACTTTGTCCCGTTGCGTCTGGTTTTTACAGTTCTTCTGTTGGTCTTTTGACTGACGTCATCCTTTTTTTTTTTTTTTTTTTTTTTTTTTTTTTTTTTAACCCGCTCTCCCATCACATTGCTCTTTACTTCCTGTGCGCGGATGGGATCTAGAACGTATGTGCAGCGCCTAGTGCTTACCTGCATGTATGTTTGCGTCTAACTTTGCGACGTACGTATGTGTGTGTCTCTCCAGTCGTTTACTTTCTCTTTGCCAGTCGTTTGCCGCAGCTTCTTGACCAGGGAGCCCCACATATACCAACATAGTGATTGTATGTGTGGGGCTAGCTCCCTGGTCTTGACGGCCCGGCATGAGCCTCTCTTTATGTAGTGCTGCTTAGTGAACTCCTAGCATGTTACTGAACAATTGCTGGTCACTGTAAAGTCCCAGGCATACAGACACCGGTGCACGGGTTGTGCGTCGGTGCAGGGCGCTAAGTTCTGCTAGTAGGCATACCGTACTCTTCCCGTCTTGCTCGAGTCAAGTGCCTTGAAATGGGGATTGCGGGATGGACCAAGAGTACATAACCCCCTGGGGGGGGTTATGTACTCTTGGATGGACAGGGCCTTGTGGGCGTATCATTATCATGGATCGGACCGCGTACCGCCTATCCTAGGCCTACCGCGTGTGCAGGGACAGAAATATTAATTTTTTTACTCTTTTCAAAGCTTGCACAACAATGCATGACAGCAAGAGTACATAAACACGTACTCTTGATGACAGCAAGAGTACATAAACGTTTATGTACTCTTGATGACAGCAAAAGTACATAACCCCCCGAGGTGATGTACTCAGTCTCTTGATGACAGTGCACGTGTAGTCTACGTTGCGCCACGCGCGCACGTGCATGCAATCCACGAATCATGAATTATTTTTGCATGCTTCATACATGTCATTATTTTTATGCGTCAATGCCGCGCCGCATATGCATGCATATCTTTTTGATTTTGAATGAGGAAGATCGACCGGAGAAAGCCTCTGCTGAGTAGAAAATCCACAGCTGACAAGCATCGTCCACTTATTTCAGACTAAGTTTAGCTAGACTGGTGTTGCTTGTTTATAATCGCAATGGCAGACATCCACAGCAAATACCGTAGCCCTCTCACCAGCCGATATGCCAGCCCGGAAATGGCTTACAACTTCTCTGATATGAAGAAATTCTCCACCTGGAGGAGGCTCTGGCTGTATTTGGCTCAAGTCGAGAAGGTCAGTCATGCTGTACCTTCTCCATGGCATGGACATTATTTGCGCCTTGACTAGAGTGATGCGCATGTACATGATCACGTATACCGCAGTGAAATCTGCATGATTGTAGTGGTTTGAGCAAATATCATTGTCACTTGAAATAATTGATAAAAAATGCAAACATTTACGAACATTTTTTTATCATTTTGGTGAGCATAATAAAGTTATCATGGTTATGGAATCGGGCAGTGCAACAACTTTCACGACAGGGAAAATTCTGAGGGGGGAGTATGATGTCGCCCGTTATAAACATGATTTTTCAATGACATTTTGGTCAGTTTCTGCACATGCCAGTAGCAAACCCCACAAATCATCACAGTCACTCTGGTGGAACACGGTTAGATTTATGGCGTCCTCAAAGTCGTCGAAAATCAATTTTGCGAACCCACAACGGTTTGAGAATGCATCCATATAGAGGCACACCACATACCTACAGGATGAACCTAAGAAATCCTGCGTCCAGGCAGCCAAAACTTATATTATCAGCTTATAGCACGGCCGATCAGTAGAGCATCGCACATGTAGCTGCCTTACACAGCCAAACACTGAATAGTTCAAACAGGTTTGCTCCATTTCTGAGGTTCACAGACTAGCTGAGAAAACGTAGATGCGAATAAACCTCATGTTTATGACTATACAATTTGAGCCGTCAGATGCAAAAAGGTACCTTATGACGTTTTGCTCGCAGTTGAGAAAATCGCGTTCGAAAAAGTATTTTCTGTGAATATGTGATCGATAGTCCGGATAGTTTCCAGGGTAACTCGGTGATGAATTGAGATTTTTGGACCTGGTTTTTTGCACGACACTCTCCTGACCAGGTTGTATCTGAAACAATCGTTAACTCGATGTGGCCAAAAATGTCATAAGGTACCTTTTTTGCATCTGACGGCTCATTTATAATTCTGGAGATATGACTCAAACGGATTCGCTGGGAGTCCCAAAAAAGGCCAAAAAGGCACCTGAAGTGCACCAACAGCATACGCAACGCCCTCCTTCTCTGCGGAAGCATCAATCAGGCCATTCCGTACTGCACGCCTTCGCTTTCTGCCTTGCTTCTGCTCCTTGGAGGCCTTCCTGGCTCAGCGGTAGAGCCTCTCCTTGTCCTGCTGCTGAGCTCCAAGAGCAGAGAACTGGCTAGCACTGCAATGCTTCGCCTTCAGGACATCAGGTATTGTGCGCCTGACACCATTGTTATTATTATTATTATTATTATTTATTTTTTTCACGGTTCGCGTCAGACTCGGCTTCTCTATATAGAGGCCGAGTTTTCCGCATCCGAAGGAACGCCACCACCCTTCAAGGATCAAGGCGCAGATGCAGCTCCTAAAGCGGTGGGAGGTGAGTAGATCAGCTCACCAGCATGTGGTCAAAGACCGAAAATCCCATTCACTGCATCCATGTTTTCCAAAAATCCTTCCGCTTCCCAAGCAGGACTTGAATCTGGTACCCTCTGTTTCTCAATCATGGCCTTAGACCATCCCACTATGCCTGCCTGCATATATTATTTATTCATATTTTAATAGGGCAGTCTTGAACACGGCAAGAGCAAGGCAGGCAGACGTCTCGACGGTAGCAGCAGAGCAGAAGGACCACTTCGGACAGAGGCTCCATAGAGTGCCATTGAAGCACTCGTTGGTGTTTTGGGTGGCTCCGTGCAGGCATCTCAGGAGCAGGTCCTGGTCGCTGAGGCGGACGTAGATGGGATTGATGGCGTCCAGAACGGCCTTCGGCAGCACATCCACATGCTTGTACTGGATGTCCGGTCCGGCTTGCCGCTGTTGCCGACCACGCCACGAATCTTTGCCAGGTGGACAGAAGGGATGCATCGGCTTCTCATCGGAAGAGGAACGGTGGCACACAGATGCCCAGATTGCCTTGTACATGAGCCGCACGTCTCCCCGCGCTGTTTTCTAATAGCATTGCCGAAACAGCACTTCAGCCTATCCATATGTTTTTCAGTCAGTCTGTTCTTGCCACACAGAGGTTTGCCATCAGAGAGCTTCTGGGAGCCGAGTTGCTGCTTCGAATCTCGGAACTATTTGCCGAGGCACTTCTGAATATGACCAATACACTAATCTTTAATAATTGCTACCTCAGCATACGGCCTAGACGCTACGACTCTGTTATAGCCTTTGCTGTCTCCACCTCCAATGCATGTCACATAGCGCAGCTTGTTGCAGTCCTCGGATCGTTTCCACAGCTTCACTACAGCTTTGGCCTCCACGGCTGGTGACGAGGCAGATGTGTTGATACTGCATGCTACGGCGCTATGGCTCTGCTTGCACTTGAGGTACTGCTTACGGGTACTGCTACTACTATCATGTCTACTCTTCCAGCTGTTGAGTAGTGATAATGAGTCATACTCCCAAACACAACGGACACAGGAACGGATAGGTGGAAAGACATTAATTGTATTAGAGACGGAGAGACAGCCGAACTAAAAGACTACTTGATGAGAGAGAGAGAGAGAGAGAGAGAGAGAGAGAGAGAGAGAGAGAGAGAGAGAGAGAGAGAGAGAGAGAGAGAGAGAGAGAGAGAGAGAATGCAAGATAAAAGGACCTGGGTAGCTATGGCAAATATGGGCGCGCAAGTAGCTACCCAGGCCAACGGAACGAAAGGTGAGTACGAGGGGAAGTACAGGGTGCATTCAGGCCAGCTTGGGAAAGGTTGCAGATTGTACGGGAGGAGGTACCTAACACAGCTAACACATTGACTACAGTGCTTAGATAATACATAAATGTCCAGAACTTGGTTGGTGTCATAAGAGATCACAGACTGAACACCGTAGAGAGATGAGTGACCGCGTCACATCCAAGTGCCATCTGTTGAAACTGCGACATCTGCAGGATCGGCGTCATCTGCTCTCTTCACAAGGACGGCTTCTGCTGCATTCTTCATACTCCTCTCAGCAACCTCCTTCGCAGCAGTGTGCAACGCATGGCGATGTCCGTCAAACGTGCTCTTACTCATAGGAGGGGGCATGTCCAGAGTTGAGCACACTGTCTGCAGCGCCCTACGTCCACGTCCAATCAGCCGCACAGCCAGTGCAGCGTTTCTATTCACATCGTTAAACCTACTCTTCTTAGGCACGTTCTTCTCTGCTAGGACTTGCTCAGCATGATATCTGCAACTATCGCATGCAGAGTAGATATTGCGCTACAGCAGTGATACAAGCATGCTGTAGCGCAATATCTACTTTCCTCGCCGTTTGTGGCTGTGTTGTCATGTACATGTGTAGTAATGCACCCGCCACGACGTACTTTGCATTTTTCTACACACGCTCTCACTAGGTACCGCGCTTTGTTTCCTTGTTTTATACTGCTGTTTTTTCCATGTCCACTTCGTTCCTGATGGTGGTCATGAAGACCGAAACGTTGAAACGATACTTCTAATGGATTTGTGTGAAATGCACTGCTCTCTTGAGTGTAGGCAGGTTGCCTGCAAACTATTCAAGAATAATATATATTTTTAAGTAATAAAAGATTTTTTGATAACTCTGAACCTCGAATTGCTAAACTATTTCATCGCAAATTGCTACAGATTCAGATAGCGCTAAAATTTGTGCCTGCTAAAATTAGCCGTTCTACAGTGCAATAGATTATTCTCTTTCGAAAATGTTGATTCCGTTTTCTACAACAGACCATTAATTTTTGTGTTGTGCAGTGCTGAGCTCTGCCCCCGTGTGGCATTTGAGCACCTACAAACACACTCACTGGGTGCATCCGAGTCTGGGAGATCATTTTCTATACGTGGCTATAATTATGCTTCCATGCAGGAACTGGGCTTGAACATTACCGATGAGCAGCTCACGGAGATGGAGGCAAACTTAGAGAATATCGACTTTGCAGCAGCTGCTGCTGAGGAGAAGAAGTGCCGTCATGATGTCATGGCCCATGTGAAGACGTTTGGCATGTGCTGCCCCAGCGCTAGCGGTATCATTCACCTCGGTGCCACGTCATGCTACGTGGGCGACAACACGGTGTGTACGAGTATAGATGTGCCAACTTGAAACTTGGTGCTAGCGGTGTGTGTTTGTGTCTGTGTGTGTCTGTGTGTCTGTGTCTGTGCGTGCGTGTGTGTGGGGGGGGGGGGGGGGGGGGAGAGAGAGAAAGAGAGAGAGAGAGAGGAGAGAGTGAGAGAGAGAGAGAGAGTGAGAGAGAGAGAGAGAGTGAGAGAGAGAACATGTGTTAAGAGTTTAGGTTGCTGCTACAGTACTGTGCTCTGAGTGCTGATATGGGTCACCGGTGCATTTATCATGATGCATAACTCAGGTACCGCATTCTGATGTTTAAGGTTAACCCCTTTCACCGTCATATAAATTTCATCCATTGAACGCCGAACGAAATTTCAACTTTGCCAGGTCATAACTTTAGTTGTACTCACTCGATTTTTATAATCTTGAGCTCGTTGGAAAGCTCTGGACGACACCAGCACCCTGATACCACATTCTTTGCCTCAGCAGTCACACAACCAGCGCTGGAACGCAGCGACGTCGTCTCAATGCCAGGCATGCAAATGACAAGTTCAAAACTTCGCCATGTCCGTCTCCTTCATCGTAGAGTGTTCAATTTTTTTTAGAGATCGAGCATTTCGTGAGGAATACGTTGGTCGTGTGCAACAGTCACAGAGCGCGTGAAGAAACGGGGAAATCCCGTGAGACATCAGCCGCGCGCCCAGCGCAGCGGAAGTGACAAGCGTGCAGTACTCAGCGCTAGATAACTCTGCTCCACTACATCATAGCTCAACGCGGATTTCTGCAACAGAAAGACTGGAAAATTCGCGACCGAATCAATAGTAAATTTTCTATCGTGCCTAAAAAATCATTCCAGTGCGAGTATTTCAAAAGAGGGGTCGAATTCGACCCACGAATGTATGGTCTGACGGTCAAAGTGGCACCTTGTGTTATCTTCCCATATTTGGCACATTGCTTTCTGTGCTCTGCTTCGTCTACGATGTTTATTTTCGTCAGTTATCTGTTTTTGACTAGTGCACGGTGTGTTCGTATGTTGTTTTCTTCTCCATGCGCAGGATCTCATTGTCATGAGAGATGGACTGGACATTTTGCTACCAAAGGTGAGTTGGTATCTTCTTTGTTTTGCTGGACCCAGTATTGAGCCGAGTGGCAAGAGATATGTGCTACCAGGCTTCTTCTTGGCATGAAACAGTGTTTATACTTTCAAGTATGTCTAGATGTGTGTCTCAAAAAGCTCACATCCTTCTGTTGTTTTTTCATCTTTGTTCATCGCTGTGGTATGTCTCTACTGTGTTCGGTGTGTCAACTGTGTTCTGTCTGTAGGTTGCACGCTGTATTGATCGTCTGTCACGTTTCGCCGAGGAGCACCGGAATCTGCCCACATTGGGCTACACTCACTTCCAGTACGTAGCAAGTGTTGTGTCGTCATGTTGTACCATTGTTTTGAAGCATAGGCTTCTGCATGGCACACACTTGTACTGGACAGGCCTGACAACATTGTGCACCGGCTGTTATTCTCTTTTAGGAAACTTCACTTCTCAACTCAACCTATAATGTAAATGTAAATCTTAATTTTAATTTGAATGGCAGTGAAGAGATTGTTTTTGGAGCTGAGAAGTGAAGTTTCCTTAATGTGTAAGTGGCTGCGTTGGAGTTTGCGGACAATTAGAAAAGTGCTATTCTCTTGTTAAAAGTGTATCAAATTGCTCCGCAGCCGCACAGCTCGAGTGATACTGTATTACTTCGAAGTATAATTATTATACTACTAGTAGGCCTACACGCACACACTGACATTGCACACATATCCAGGTACACTGTAGCAGTGGCTCTGACTTTGCACGGTAACAGTGATCTATAGCTCTGGCACACGGCATCTTGTTAACCACTGCTCCCAACGTGCATGTGTACACCGCGGCAGGCCTGCTCAGCTGACAACGGTGGGCAAGCGCGCTTGCCTGTGGCTGCAGGACATGGTCACCGACCTGGCCAATCTTGAGCGTGCCCGCAAGTCTCTGCGCTTCCGTGGCGTCAAGGGCACCACCGGTACGCAGGCCAGTTTCCTGCAGCTCTTCGAGGGCGACCATGATAAGGTATGTACCAGTGAACACACCTGACATAACAGATACCATACATGTACTTCAATACAGTCAGGGCATCGTGACCAGTCGTAGCCCTGTGCCCGTTTAAAATAATCTGTGAGAGCAAGTCTTCATCAAGTAGCGACTAACTCTTCCATTGAAAATATAATTATGTCTATGCATATTGCTCTTGCTAGTTCTGTACTCCTTACGCTGCTCTGCTCGCGGTCACACTAGCTGTCAAGAAGGCATTGTCATTGATTACCATCTCTGGTATTTGGATTATCCCGCATGATGTCGAAATTTATTGAGTTTATTCACAGCCTCGTCTAATACCTACGCAACTAATATACTTGTTACTTTGTGTCGTTGCTCTGCTGTATGCTATGTGTAGGTTGAGAAGCTCGACGTTGGAGTGACCGCCAAGGCCGGGTTTGAGCGGTGAGTCTGATTCCGTCACTGAATGGGTCGTTCACAGTTCAGTACTGCGCTTAGAGACATTTTCCTGGCTGCTTGTTAACTTTACTTCCCTGTGATCATACTAGTAATGATTGTAGTTTTGATTCAGCGAAACATTGAGAATGACCTTTAGTCTTAGATTCCTGCTGGCTTTGTTTCGTTTTGCACTCAATCTAATCTTCACTGTTTTCTTTGTCTGTGCTTTACCAACGACTGGTGCTATTTAGAGCCTACATCATCACTGGTCAAACATACCCCAGGAAAGTGGATCTTGCTGTCCTGTCTGACCTAGCCAGTCTGGGATCGTCCATTCACAAGGTAAACAAACACCCGATTGCCCTGCTTTGGCGTAAAGCCTGAAACCACAGATCTGCTACAGCATGTATATGGCGGTGTGTATATTGGAGTATCCTTTGCAACAAGTACAGTACATTGTATCAAGAGTATATAACTCCCAAGAGTGTGCAACTCCAGCTATGGGATGCGACGGCAGAACTTCACATCATATGCCGAACCCGCACACATTAGTTACGCCCTGTGCATGATAAATGCAGGGTTGTACGCAACCCTGCTCTGGGTTCAACTCTTTTGTGGTCACTTTGCAATGTTTGCCAGCGTAACCATTTGAACCATGTCACATGATGTGAAGTTCTGCCATCACAACACTGTATAGAGGTTGTGCAGGCAGTTGCACACTCTTGGGGGGTTATGTACTCTTGATTGTATGTATGTGTGTCCGTGTTTGTGCGTTTGTGTCTGGTTGTCTTGGCCTGTGTGAATTAGCCCTTTCTGGACTTGATTTATTTTGCAATGGAAGCTTGATATGCACTGTGATTTAAATCATCTCTTGCGACGTACTGGTTATTGTTCTCTCTCTGCTCAGATGGCCACAGATATCCGACTCTTGGCCAACCACAAAGAAATCGAAGAGCCGTTCGAGAAGGATCAGATTGGTAAGCCAAAATGAACTCTGGTTTCTTTGTCAGTGTTGTCATTCAATACTGGCATGTTGAATTGTCTTGTGAGGCTTTTGCTGTTCAGCGAAATGTGGTAGGAATTTTTCTGGTGCGTCTTTCGGTGTGTGAACGTTGTTTTCCATGTTCCTGTGCTACTTTGTGCTGTTGGTTGAACTGATAGGTTCCAGCGCCATGGCGTACAAGCGCAATCCCATGCGCAGCGAGCGCTGCTGCAGTCTGGCGCGGCACTTGATGGCACTCGTAGCCAACGCGCAGCAGACCAATGCCACTCAGTGGCTGGAGAGGACGCTGGACGACAGTGCCAACAGGTCAGTTGTACATGTAGCTTACAATCCCCTGCTCTCCCCCCTGCACCCTGTAGCCTCTACTCATGTACCTACTGGCTGAGAGTGTGCCAATAAAACCTTTGCTGTCGTGTCAACTTGATTACAGCTGATTGAGCTTTCAATGGGTAAGTCTTAGCAGAGTAATTGAAATGGTTTGGCATCACTCAGGGATATGCCCATTGTCATTAGTTTGTATAGCATCAGCAAAGTGCTGGCAGACTTTGGCAGTATTTTCTGCCTTTGCCATGCTCAATGTGCTCTGTCTCTGATACATGTACCTGTATTGTTTTTGCTGTGTTCTCATAGGCGTATCAGTATTCCAGAAGCTTTCTTGACCGCCGATGTGCTCCTCAGCACCCTGCAGAATGTCTGTGAAGGTCTGGTGGTTTACCCAAAGGTAAGAGATGTGTTGGGTATGACTGACAGTCGCCTCATTGTCCTTGACTGCCACGTGGCATGCATGTTCTTCGGTGCTGGCATTGCTGGCTGTATCGCTCTTCAGTTTTTTGCTTCGGGCGTTCTCAGGTAGTGAACTCTGCAGCTGTGCATGGGGACGACTGTAAAGTGAGAAGCTTTTGCTAGAGATTAAATTTCGATATTCTCGCGACCATCACACATTCGCAAATATAAATCGCCGCAAACTGCTCCGTACATTGATTGCAGACAGTACAAGATCCGACTGAAGAGATAGAATTGCAAAAGTTTCTCGTCGTGAACCAGCCCAATTCATGAAAACACGAAATTTAAGCACCGCGAACATTTATCGTTTTACAGTGTCTAGTAAGTTTGCAGAGCAGGCTGTTCTCTATCTCGGTTGTGCGGGTGCAGGTGATTGAGAGGCATGTGCTGCAGGAATTGCCCTTCATGGCAACGGAGAGCATCATCATGGAGATGGTCAAGACCGGAGCAAGTCGACAGGTACGTGTTTGTCCATGATCAAGCTCTCCAGTCTCTTTAGTGCCTACACACATGAGTTAAATCATATCCAGGCCCCTCTCAGGCTCTCTGTTGAGCCCAGGTGGTTTATACAGACATTGGCCAGCACATGCTTGTTGTGGAACATGAGCCCTGCCTCTGGTTCCAAGACTCCAGTACCGTGCTATAAATTACAATCCCCTCTGGAACCGAGCGATCGGGCTCTATGGTTTAGTCCGGGTCAGTGGCAATGAGGGCAGATAATTATGACTTGAGTCACTTCACGTGTGTGTGCTGTTATTTGTACAATGACAACAGGTAAATATTAATATTAATTAATATTAGGGCTGAAACGATCGTGGATTTTCACGTATCGATAACTCTTTAGCTTAACGATCGAGTAATCGATTATAATCGTTAGCAAATAGTGTCATAATTCTGTGCAAACATTACTCTGTTTCCACAAACTATGCCTTCATAATACCAACAAATCTGCATTAGTGAAAGGGTAGCTCCGAAACATGGCAGTTTTGAAGTCAATTTAACCTCAGAACATGAACCATACCCCTGGCAACTGCATACTCCCAGCGGAAACTGATTCAAACTTCATAAAACGAGGGTTTACAGTACTTTCTGGACACAAATTAAAAAAAAACGCAAATAATCGTAATCGGTAATCTAAACGATTGCTCGATCGTTAGAGTTATCAAACGAGTACTTGATTATTCGGTATAATCGTTTCAGCCCTAATTAATAATTATAGCATAACTCTACTGTGGCCTTGTCATGATCATAGCTAATCACAGCACACACAGCTGCACTAAGTCATTGGCTACACGGAAAATCTTCAATCCCTTTATTTTTGAAGCTGTCTGTGTAGCCATGGACTTTGTGAAGCTATGTGCGCTGTGATTTTGCTATGATCGGCCCGACAGATAAACACAAGATGTTCCCTGCATCCCAGCAAGCTGTGTATGGGCATCTTCATCATTGGAACTTACCGTATTCTCCTCAATTATCTACTATCTTTACATGCACTATAACGTATGGCTAACCGTGGAGAGCAAGTCAATGGGACTATTCCCTAACATGCAGAGTCAGTATTTCATGACCTCATCTCTCTGTCCGTCTCTGCTCTCCAGGAATGTCACGAACAGATCCGCGTTCTCTCTCAGGAGGCAGCCGCCCAGGTCAAGCAGCACGGCAAAGACAATGACCTGGTGGAGCGTATCCGCAGCAGTGAATACTTTGCACCCGTCCTGCCCCGGCTCGATGCCATTCTAGACCCAGTGACGTTCACGGGCCGGGCAAAGGAACAGGTGAGGAAACCTGAGATGCAGCCTTTTTTTATAAGTTTTTGAGTTGATCCCCTCTCTTTACCTGTGTGTGAGCACCTCTCTCTTTACCTGTATGAGAGTATCCCTCTCTTTACCTGTATGATAGTACCCCTCTCTTCACCTGTATGAGTGTATCCCTCTCTTCACCTGTATGAGTGTATCCCTCTCTTTACCTGTATGAGTGTATCCCTCTCTTTACCTGTATGAGTGTATCCCTCTCTTTACCTGTATGATAGTACCCCTCTCTTCACCTGTATGGGAGTGTGGCCAGTTGCCAATGCATTGTTAATTTCGTATGACTGTGGTGATAGTGGTCAGAAGTAGATGAAACCAGCAACAGCACATGCAGCACATGTGGCAGTACATAGAGGCACGTTCTCGTAGCTGCATCGCTATCAACAACATGCACATGCCTTCGGTGTTCCGGCACAATTCCCTGAACCCACTGTCCAACACACAGTGACAGTGCCCGTGTGGTTCAGCCTGTGCTTGCACCACGTGGCCTGCCAAGGTTTTAGACCCATGCATTGGCAATCATTGCTTTGTGTGTTCTCATCTTGCCACTTCGTACAGGTGGAACGCTTCCTGAGCGAAGAAGTACGGCCTTGTCTTGAGCCGTACCGCAAGCAGCTCGATGGTACCGTCACACTGAACATCTGATGGAACCGTCACACTGAACATCTGATGGAACCGTCACACTGAACATCTGATGGAACCGTCACACTGAACATCTGATGGAACCGTCACACTGAACATCTGATGGAACCGTCACACTGAACATCTGATGGTACCGTCACACTGAACATCTGATGGTACCGTCACACTGAACATCTGATGGAACCGTCACACTGAACATCTGATGGAACCGTACTTGCTGGATTGATGAAAGTACCTTCTCGGACTTGATGGAGTTATATTTCAACTTGAGTTACAAATTCATCTTTATCAGGGTGCGTGCTTGCACGGGTTGTTCCCTGATCGATATCATGTACATTGTAGATAGCTCCCTGCCATTGGGCTGTGCCCATTATCAGCTTTACCACAGTAATTGACTAATTGTATCCTTGGGGGTTTCCCTTTCCCAACTGTTAGCTATTTCCGTGCTCATTGTAACTGGTTTGCTATGAAAACGTCATTCTCAGATTTTCCTTCAATTGCCTTTGAGGAATAGCTGTGTGTAGTGAGTGGGTTTGGGGTGCGCCTGCGGCTGTACTTGGAGAGTGCAAGCATTGTGACTTGTAAGCCATTCCACCGAGGTCTGATGTATTGCACTGTGAGCAGGTGCCCATGCTGTGGGCGGATTGCAATCCCAACCGGCTTATACACTGCCACTGCAAACAATTGCTGTGACCTGTGTGTGGGCATGCGGATCCGTTTCCTGGATGCTAATATCGCTATTCGGTCCGCATCCGTAAGTGGAGTTTGTGCTGCACATCATTGACTGGTGTTGATGTTGTGTACGTAATATCCTTGGCATGTACTGTAGCCACTGGGTGCTGCACGCACATGGAGTAATAATTATTGACCATAACAGTCATTGATTGACAGCGTCGCCTCCGTGCACATCATTATCTGCTACAGTGTCAAGTACATGACTATCCTCTGACAGGTGCACCTTGTCACAATCAACAAGATAGCAGTGCTGCATAGCCTAGATAGACTCGAGTTGTCTGGCTTGATTTGACACGTGCACACGTGCACCATGCAGGTGACAAATTGCCTGCCACTGTACTCTGGTGAAAGGGCATACCTGCAGGCCCTGCTTTGCAATCAAGAGACTTTGCTGGCTGCAAATGATCTTGATCATCATTGTGCACACATGCAAACACTCACCACGCACACAGACACACAACGTCTCCAGAGACCTGGCCTGGCGACCATGTTATCTTGCCTGCCTGCACTGTATTCGTATGCATGCACCATGGCAGCAGATATCTAATGGCAATTATCTGAACTACCCCCCTCCCCCCTTTTAGTTTGTGCAAATATCAGAATGTGCCTGCCCAGTGTGTGTGTGGGGGGGGGGGGTGTGGGTGTGCGTGTGTATGCTCAGATGTGCCTCCGAAGAGTCTAAGGGCAGTTCAATGCTTTCAATGTATGATTTGGTAAGCTCAAATTCACAATGCTCGGCTTCTCTAATTCACCAGTGAGCTGCACAGTTTGGTATCATAACGTTAATAGTCCTTGCTGATTGGATTGCTGCATGCAGGGTGTCTTTGAAATGAGCCAAACAAGTGACATTGGTTGATTTTAAAAGTTTTTCACTGATATCTCGGGATAGCCGGTGTGCAGCCCGGAGCATTCCTGTGTGACCAACGGTGCGGGGAGAATAGGGGCCCATATGACTGAGAACATGCGGATCAAAACCGGTGGATGATACGGCCTTTGCTTGACGGTATGAACCATGGCAGCAGCAAAGGAGCTGTACCTATTCTTTTTAAGCAGACTCTCTTTCTCTCTAGTGCAGCGACTTTCTTCGACAACGCAGAGATGATGCATGCCTTTCCATGCGTGTCCGGGTATCATACTGGCACTGCGGAATAAAAATTCATACATGTACTAGTTTCCAAAGCTTTAAAGGTGCCCTTGTCTTTCAGCATTTATGTACCAGTCTGTAATTGTGCCTTTTCACCCGCAGCGAACCACTGCCTTTATAATGAACTACCTCGAAGTAACCCGGCTGATAATGCAGTCTGGCGACAGTAGCCCGAAAATACACTGGTTTGATCCGGTCACGGAGTAACGTTACTTGTGAGACCAGCTGCCCCCAGATACAATAACAATCATGTCGATTTTGTCCTGAGATTTCACATATCTCTGCACAGTGACCTGGTGACTGCACTTCGTTACTGGAATCAGAAACAGCAGAATGCAGGGCCATGGGATGTGCCAGGACATGTCAACAGTCACTGACTGACTGAGTGCTGAACTGCATGATGCTGTAGCTGTACTGGTGACCTACCACTTCGGGTTTTGACTGCCTGAGGCATCCAGTGCATGACTCTGCACCATACGTGACACTGAGTGTGTATGGGTGCAGAGTCACTGACATACCAAGACTGACAGAGCACTGTAAGTGTAAGGATCATGACTGTATGTGCTATTGTGCCATTGTTCTCTGAATAACTCTGGTGACACAGGTTTTCAATTGCCTACTTCAACACTTTAGTCAGGAACTCATAACTTGAATGAAGATTTTCTTACCAAGTTGCCTGCCTTCACTTCAGCTGTATTGTCACATTTGCTTGGATATCAGTCCAGGCGGATGGCCCCAGGCTTCACAGCAGGATCAACTGTTTCCCGTGCTTTGGCGTCTGGCACGACACTGTTTATCAATAGTACAATGTTATGACTCTTGTTAGCAAAGACTCTCTCCTACACGTCAGTGAGTTCTGAGTTTTGCACTTTCATGTTTCACTGTACACAAATCTGACAAATCACAACTAAACGGCCCAGAAACCTGTATGATGGGGTTCAAGCTGGATCCCCCCCCCCCGCCCCCCCCCCCCCCCCCGGGTGGGGGTGGGGGGTGGGTGAGAGGTGCTTACTGATGAAGGGCGGGGTGAGTAAGGGGGCACCTAATTGAGGTACTAGATATCTGCTGCAAGGCATCATGTAACTGTAATACTAATATTGGCATGGCATGTTCTTCATCTTGGGTAGCAGTACAGCTGTAGCTAATAATAATTCTAGCCTACATGATTGTAGAAGCTGTGGCCTGCAACTGCGGTAGATTCTACATGATGCCGTACAATCATCATGTATAGAACCATGATAACTGTCACTGTACAACTAACTACTTACTTATAACAACACCGTACACAACACAACATGCTGCGACAGTGATATGCTACAGCAAAACACTGTCGCAGCAATGAATTATTGGGAATGGGAGCAGGGGCGTCGGAAGGTATTTTAGTGTGGTACGGTCAGCCATTTGAAGTACAATTTACTCGTGGGGGAGGGGTTGCTGAGAAGACATTTTTGGAAATTTAGAGCCCAGATCAGTGTATTTTATTGATTTTACAGGGTACTTGGGGCAAAAAGTGGTACGGTCAATACCGTAGTGACTGTACCGGTGTCCGACGCCCCTGGGGAGTATAAATACAGTGCAACCTTGTGCCAGAAGCATCATAGTAGTTGTTATCTCTCACTGATGAGGGGACTTGTTATAAAACATGTCCCCTCACGAGATGTACAAGTACTGATGTTTATTTGTTTGAACTATTTACATGCATTCCACCCGAATACTGGCAATCGGATTATCCGTATGAGTATGAGTATGTAAAAGTGACTAATGAATGTACTGTATACAATAGATCTACAGCCAGTACAGGCTCTCCAGTTTAGCTTTGTGACTGACCTGCCACCACCCGGCCGGAGTACCCAGTCAGCAGTCAGCACCTAGCGCCTGCTACCAGAATGGCACGGAACCCAGGTGAAAATGAAAGGTCTGATGGCAGTGATGCAGGGCCACAAGTGCCCGTGGCGCAGGTCACAGCGCCTTCAAGGGCTTTCCTTCCGGGCCAGGCGCCAGAAATGAATAGCCTCTTCATGGCCACCGCTACGGGCCTTTCATTCCCGAAAATGAGGGCGTTCTGGTCAAAGCGATGTTTAGGACGCTTGTGGCTCAATGTAGCTGAACCATCGGACCTTATTTGTCAGCTTGGATCACGTGATCCATCCAGCTGCCGCGTGCGGCAAACAGCCCAAATAGCGCTAACTCTGGCCTGCGAGCGTTTGCTGCGACTAGCGCGCTAGCGCTCGTGACATACACAAACGCGCTAGCCAGAATGCTTTGACTTTGATGGCTTTCAGCTTCTATTTTTTGAAAAGTAGCGCGCTCAGACCAGCTCGCTCACTCTTTTCCTCTTCCATTTTTTAGGGCAATTGTTTTGTTTGATAGACGAAGCTTAGGGTCTCTTTGGGTTTGCAACCCTTACCCTCCTGGAAAAATCATAGTTGCTAGACTGCGACACTTCAGACCAGGTACTATTAGAGCCGCTAATGGACGACGAGCTATTTTCCGCTATCCGGAGCTCAAGCATTTGAGCCGCTAAATGGACGAGACTCCTGGGGTAAAGGATGCAGAGAATGAGGAGAAAACACTCGTATGGAGCAGGGAGTAGGTATTGTACTACTTCCTGGTATGGAGCACTGAGAAGCGGTAAGTCCTAGGGCAATTCTTAGCCAGTAATTACTTTCTCGCCATAATTATGTTCTCGTTTTTCGTGTCTTCTGTAATGCCAGTACACTAGCAGTACGACTACACTGTAGGCGAGAGTCCATAAGCCAGCGTGTGCAGCTCTCCATCTATGCAGCATAAACAAATTAATGACAAATTTCCTTTGCCTAAGGGCTGGGTTCCACTGCCGCTCCGCCGCACATCATCCACGGCATGAAACGTCATCATTACGAGCTGGTCCAGCGAGGCCGCGGCTCATCACCAGCTTTCGCTTCGCTGCTTGATACAAAAGAATGCAAGCCGCGGTCACGGCTTGCATTGTTTCCCGCGCTTAAAGGGGAAGTTAAGGCAAAAATTAAAATTTCACCAGTTGTAGTCTTCGGGGTGCTGAGTCGAATGGTCGTGGTCCGAGGAAGCTGAGACGCTCCCTTCCTACTTGAATCCCAATCGAACTCGCGCACTTCCACCGAAACTGGGTGACTGCGCCCTACGAGATGGGGATTTGTATGCAAAATGTCACTAAAAGCGCCATTTCGTTCTTATAAAAGCACGGATGACCGCGATTGGCCCATATGTTGTAGTCTTTGGGACGCTGAGTCGACTGGTTTTGGTCCGAAAAGGCTGCGATGCAGCGTTCCTCCTTTATTCCCAATCGAACATGGTTGAACAAGCGGTCACGTGGTCCTGGGTGCCCAAATCACCTGGTCACCACGCCAGCAGGTGACAACTTTCACACCAAGGTTCAACTCGGGTTCAACTCGAGTGACAGGACTGCACCCAAAAAAGGTCAAACAGGCTAGTAAGTTGTACCCTGCAGGCACGGTGACCAGGTGACTGGTGTACGCAGGAGCACGTGACCGCTTCTTCAACCATGTTCGATTGGGAATAAAGGAGGAACGCCGCATCGCAGCCTTTTCGGACCAAAACCAGTCGACTCAGCGTCCAAAAGACTACAACATATGGGCCAATCGCGGTCATCCGTGCTTTTATAAGAACGAAATGGCGCTTTTAGTGACATTTTGCATACAAATCCCCATCTAGTAGGGCGCAGTCACCCAGTTTCGGTGGAAGTGCGCGAGTTCGATTGGGATTCAAGTAGGAAGGGAGCGTCTCAGCTTCCTCGGACCACGACCATTCGACTCAGCACCCCGAAGACTACAACTGGTGAAATTTTAATTTTTGCCTTAACTTCCCCTTTAATTGTTTTATTCGGGGGAATTTTAATTCGTTGCACAGGCCAGAACACGAGGATTTTTTTGGATTTCACGCGCGCGCAGGCAGGCTAAATGTCGTCAAAAAACGTCGAGCACGATCGCGGTACCGTGAATGGCGAGTGTCACTGGAACCGCGCCGCTCTGCTGCATGCAGCCAAGTACCGTGGAGCAGCGGAGCTGCGGAGCCGCAGTGGAACCCGGCCCTAACCAAACTTATAGCAATTTGAAAATGTTTTACAATTTTTCATAAACAACTTGACAACATTGTTCTTCTGTAGAGTGCCGCTGGCAACTCCATCGATGAACTCCATCAATGAGCGCAGGGATAAAGTTTAGAAACCCTTCGAGCGAGAACGTGTTTTCAAAAAGGAAGCACAAATATGCCGCGTAACTTCCCCTCTAGTATGGCCCCATCAAAGCCACTCGCTGACTACTTACCAGTAAAATGGGGTTGGACAGTTGTCAGATTAGCTGACATGTTTTCTGCCAACACAACCATAAGCAGTTGTCAACTCTCAAGACTAAAAGAGCTTGCGAAGAAAGTGAGAAACCTTGGCTATGAAAGCACATGAAGCGTCAGAACATAATCGAGCAAACTTGGACCTAGATTACCAGTGTCTGCTCCAGAGCGAGGTCAGTGGCCCTGTTTGTGAGTACTTGGACCTTTTGGAAAAAGAACACTGGGTTACCTGCGACCCGGTCGGAAGTCCTGTCGAGTACTATACTTTTCTTATACTTCGAGGGTATACCGCCACTGACAGGCTGCATACGCGTGCAGATGCGTGCGGCCAGAGTGCCCAGTGCGAGTACGTTCATACATGTACATGTACAATCATGTACATCAGGAAGTCGAAAGTAAGTTTACGAACTCCCTGACACACAGTAGCCGCACTTGAACGCATCTGGCTCTGGCCCAGTGTTGCAGGAATTGTGCCAGGTAGACGTGTACCCGGTTTGTGTTAAATCTTAGAGCAGGTACTGCATACCCTATCATATCTGTGTACATGGGTAGACAGAGTCAGTGTTGTTGCGTCCCACTCAGCACCCTTCTGGTTCATTTCGGCACCAGCACTCTTTGCGTATGCAGAGTTGAGTAGAGTGCAAGTTCGGACCACAAGTACACTGCAGCGGCTAGTAGCAAACCTAACCTGTGCCGTGATGCCCGGCACGTGTGTGCATCTACTTCATCCCTGAGTAACACACCTGGTATATTGTGCACAATAGGGCACAGTAAATAATCAGCATGCATCGCAGTTTTCTGCAACATATTCCTGAAGTCACTTTACACCTCAGAAGAATTGCGTCGCTGACTGGAATTCGATACCGGTTTAGTTTCTCTCTGGGTCATTATCAATCATAGAAAACCCGTCATACAATAGGTTCAAGCTAAAGTACCGTATCACCATGGTAATTCCTGGAAATTCGGTGTGTTTTCTGCCTTTTGTTAAACAAGCAGCAATGTGCAACAGAAATTACCATGGTGATACAGTAGATTACCGTGTGAAGCGGTGTGAGATGCAGCAAAGGTGAGCTTGTTACTGTGAGTCTATGCCCTAAACAATAAACTTTGCCGTGGGATGATTATCCTTGGGCTGCACACTCTGCACACTTATTGCTAGGTAAATCATTGGTCTTGTTCGAATCGTCCATTACGTTTGCAGCTGTTCAAACTTGTTTTGTTGTTTATTATTTTATTGATTTATTTATTCTACTTGCCTTTCCTATCTTCTTGTGTTTAGCATTAGGCGATTTGATCGCAGGACAAGAGAGGAGCTGATGGACGATCTCTCCAGTGTCCCTCTTGGTTCGGAGCAGCGCCGAGTGCTGACGTTGGGACTTGGGTAAGGATGAGTGTTCCCTCATGTTTACAAGTTATCCGTTTTGTCCAACACTAACGGTTATATGCAGAATACTGCTGAGTCAAAAATGTGCAACAATTAGCACAAAAACTGACTGATGAGATCATGACATTCAACGACCTGATGCTTAGCTGCATCACGTTTATATCCGTTAGTGTTGGACAAAACGGATAACTCGTAAACTGATGGTCCTCTTTTTCAATTTTAATCCTTGGCTCTCCATCCGAGTTCCCTCGTGTGTGTAGCTATTATTTTTTTTTTGGTGACAGTCAATTTTTTCTTCAGACTTTTCCCATTTGTGTCTTTCCCTCAAACTAGTCAATATTTTTATTTACTTATTTTTTTGCCCAGGGTCTACATTCTACCTTTATTTTACTTACACTAGGGTTAGCTGTCCGTTTACCAGTACTCATCCACACATATGTGCACATAGGATCTACACAGAACTCTATCAGTAGATATTTTGTGTATAGGAGGTTGTCTATCCACCGAGATAGCACTATATACTCCCATTCTGTGTGTTCTCTGGTAGCTATGTCCCTTGGAGACTATACGGTGCCAGTGTGGTGACCGAGATCAGGCGTGTCTGCACTGGCATCGTCAACTTTGCCTACTGCTACGTGCTCCCCAGTGCTCCATCTGTGTCCTGTAATTTGTTTGGGGAGGGGGGGGGGGGCAATACCGGTACTTCAGGTGCAGGGGCAAGGGGGGAATGGGGTGGGGGACATCATGCCCCCAATGAACCTCTCCAGGCGTTGTTCTGGAGTAGACTAACCATAGGCGGAGTGTACACATGCAGCACATAGTTTGGGAGCTAGAACGCAATCGGACTCAGGCATATTCAAAGGCAGTCTATTGTGATAGTAGTCCTGGACTGATCTCACTATGATGATATAGGTCGTGCCCAGCATCACAATGCCAAACATTATAAATGACTGTTTTTTTTGCCTGAGGGGCTAGATGAGCATGCGGCTAGACTGCCGATGGCAACCAACAGGCTCAAGGCTGTGTTGAGACTTCGTGTGAGCGACCCGAGTCAATTGTTTACTCACCATGACTAGGCATCGCATTGAGCACCGTATGCCCACTAATATAATATATTATGTCACTGTTCTTAGTCGCACCGGGGGCGCATGCCCGTTTTCAGGAGACTTCTCAAAACACATAAGCCCTGGGTCCTGAAGGTTAGGCCTATTGTTAATCTAAATAGTCCTGGCTACTATCCCGCTGAGTTCACTGACTTTCTACTGAACCCGTATGTATGTGAGGAAAGTACTGTTCTGACCTCAACTGCGGATTTCATAAACTTGGTAGAAGGTTTGCCTGTGCGGGACGATCATTTATAATTGAGCATAGATGTGACCAGCCTTTACTACACCAACATCCCCAACGAGCTCGGTTGTCGTGGTATATCACACACAGGTGTACAAGGTGGATGCCCCTCGCCCTTCGTACATGGTTATTAACAGCAGTGACTTCCTTGATGTCAGTCATTCGGAAGAAAAATGAGTTCGTGTATGGTAACGATGTGTTTCGGCAGATTCAAGGCCAGGGACTGCCATGGGTTCGCCTGCAGCAGTGGTCTATGCCGACATTGTTATGCTGTATTTGGAGAAGCAGTACGTTTTGCCGATCTTAGAGGGGGAGGGTTTAGAGGTTCAGGTTTATAGACGCTTTATCATTGCATGGTTGCGAAGGTCAAGCTCAGCGCACTTTAGATAGGATTAATAAGTGTTCGGCCCTCAAGTTTTCTCATGAACTGGCACATGATGGCATTGATTTCCTGGACACCACAGTTTTCCGTAGTAAGGGATACATGGCGGTGAAGCCTCATTTCAAGTTCACCAATCGTTTCCTGTATCTGCTTGTCGGTAGTAACCACCCCTGTAGTATGGGCAAAGGTGTGTTCACTGGGGAGTTGATCCGTATCCGTCGGTCTTCGACCCTTGACCACCACTACGAAGCTGCTGCCGAGCGGCCGAAGCAGGCTTTCCGGGCCCGTGTATACAAGCGCTCCATCTTTCATCTTTCAGACCCGTACACTAGGAATGGATGCGCAGGGAAGGTATGTTGGTCAAATTGGCATGGGTTTGGGTTATTTCTGTAGTTGTATACAGTGCTCCTCATTGTATTTACCTGGGCCCGGCCTGCTGTCCTTCGCCCGTTGGTCTTGAGGTCCAGGTGTAATACCCCTACCATACAGTCCGGTGGCCAGCGCGGTTGTTGTTACACGGTGGAACATCGGCAAGAGGTTGCTTGCTCGTTTGCCTCATGCTCAGTGTCCTCAGGGAGTTAGTATTTTCCTCCTGTTTGGATTTTGCAGTGTCTATGGTGTCGGTAATTGAGTTTTTGTTCTGTATGCTTTTCTGTGGTGTGTGGCTGTTGTTCACACATCTTTATTTGACTTGCTTCCTGGTGTGGTGTACCTTTTTGTTTTATATTGGTGTTGGTCTGGCTGTAGAGTTCTAGCATCCGTAGCTGCCTCAGGGGGTGCCACTTCTCCCATCAGCGTCGACTAGTCCGCCGGTACGTGGTGCTATATTACGTTTAGTTGTCTGTTCCGTCCTGTACGGGCTGTGTCCTGCTGACCACACAGTCTGGGTCTCCATACTTTGCATGTTCTCATCGTGTGTAGTGTTCACACGTACATATATGGACTGTCACACCCATATGTTGTACATGTGGCTGCACGTGTTGTCTCTTTGTCGTACCTGCTGCTGTATTTGTGTTTCTGTGATGCTGACCCGTACATGCTGCTGCGCTGCTTTGTTGTATTGCTGACACGTGCACCTTTTTGTGCTGATATGATATCGAGTACGCCACTTTTTGTGCTGATGAGGGCACCACTTTCCGATATCATGTTTCCTTTCGCCATGTCAGTTGTCAGTTCTCCCGTCGTCTCCTGAAGTGTAGTAATGAATAGCTCTCTCTCTAGCTCTAAAGAAAAACCACTTGACTAGTCCGTTTGATGTGTGGCGTGGCGAGGGTATAGTAGAGGCAGCTTGTTCTCCAACCGAGACGACATTTGGCGCCCAACGTGGGGCTCAAACCCACAACCCTGAGATTAAGAGTTTCATGCTCTACCGACACATATATGCACGCGGCACCGTTTGTGCTCCTATCCATTTACATATGCTGCTTTCCACACCTGTGCTGACAGTCGGTACGCACCGACTCTGTACGCATGCACGCACACCATTACATTCTGTTGGCATCATATTAGTGAGGTTTTGCATTCCAAAATTCGGCAAAAGATTCGGCACGCGGGAGCGAGGTCGAAAATGCACACGAAGATGCGGCATGTTTGTTCGGAAAAAGCTCACTTTGCCGAACATATTTTTCGGATGAATTTTCTTGTGGAAGAGCGCTAGCGCGTGATTTATTCAAAGAGGTTTCTTATCTTGGCATGGCTTCGCAGGCGTCTTTGACGACATCAGCATCGTCAGCTACCTCTGATTGCTCCTCTCCACTGCCTGTCTACTCTCTTTCGCCTGGAGTGTCCTCACCGTCATCTGTGTGGCTGAAAAGACTATGGCGATACCCATAAAATTTGACTTGGCCATGGAGTTGGTTTTTCTGAGGCGACTGAGGAGGCAGGTTTGGCCCTCGACTCTTTGGGCGCGATCAAAGTTTGTCGGAATCAGCAAGAAAATGAGCACGGGACAGGACATTGCTGATGCTGGGGCTCACGAAATCAAAACACATCATTTTCGACTTGCAAAACAAACGTCGGTGCGAAAATTCGACATTTTGATGTTCGACAAATTACCAAAGAACGCCAAGCCGAAATTCGGAATGCAAAACCTCACTATTGCGGAGCTTTCCGGAGCTCCGAGTTAGTTGTTGTTTGGAATACAGCAAGAGAACAACATTACATTGGCGCTGCGAGCAAACGCCTGATCCTCGCCATGTCCCTACTGTCACTACCGCCTCCGGAGCCATTCCCGATCTACAGCAGTCTCTACGATGCTGCTGCCCATTTTCCTGCCTGGGAACGGTGTTTCCAACTCTATGTCGCAGCAGCCGGCATCTCGGATGACACTCGCCAGAGAGACACTTTCCAGTATGTGGCCGGCAAGGACATCCAGCGGCTCGTCCCTACGTTAGCCAACACTGGCAACGATCTCGACGGCCTCATAACCGCCGCCGCCGACTACTTTCAGTCGAAGCAGAGCCCCAGCATGGCCCGCTTCCACTTCCGGCAGGTCACCCAGCAGCCTGGCGAAACATTAGACACGTTTTATACTCGTTTGCTGGCATCGGCAACGACCTGCAGCTTCGCCGACGATGCCCAGAAGAACGTGGCTCTCTGTGATCAAATTGTGGCAGGATGCACGTCCGATCCACTCCGCAGAAAACTGCTGGAGACTGGGTCCCTTGATCTCGCCAAGGCGCTCAAGGCCGCCAGAGCATTTGAAGCGTCAGTGGAACAGACGACGGCGTTCCGGCGCACACAAGACTCGATCAATGCCCTCCGTCATCAGCCACCGTTCTACAAAAGGACACTGCCGCCTCCTGCTACTGTTTCAACTCCGTCGCGTCGACCGATGCAGTCTTCGCCACATCCAGCTGCAAACTCGTACCACCAGCCACCTGCCCCAGTCGCCACTCGCGCTCCAGGCCGGCGGGAATCCAGCACATCGCTCTGCTACCGCTGTGGAGAGCCAGGCCACCCTGAGTCACGTCGCTACGCAGTTTTGCACTGTAAACGTCTGCCCATGGGCGTATCGTCCGCATCCGAGATCCTACAGCGCACACTGGACGCCATGGCTCGCTGGCCTCGACGGTGTGAAGAACGTCCACGACGACATCTTCAACTTTGGTAAGAGCGTCGAAGAGCACAACCGACGACTCGCCGCCTGCCTCCAGCGGCTCCAAGATCACAACGTTACACTCAACCGAGCCAAATGTCACAAATGTCACATCCTCAAGCCTCGGCTCAAGTTCATGGCTAGCGTCTACTCCGACAAGGGCATCCGCGCCTCTCCCAGCCACCAGCAGTCTGTGGCTACATTCTCTACGCCATCTTGCGTCAGCGACATACAGAGTTTTCTGGGTCTCACCAACTTCCTCCGCCGTTACATTCGTAACATGGCCGATCTCACCACGCCACTCCCTGCTCTCACTAAGAAAGGTACTGTTTGGCGTTGAACTGATGTTGAGCAGCAATCATTTGATGCACTGAAGAAGGCCATCGCCGAAGACTGCATGCTGCAATACTTTGACCGCAACACATCACTGTATGTCGACGCACCGGCCTCGGCGCAATCCTGTGTCCACGCCAAGACAACGGCCACGATGCACCTGTAGCATTCGCCAGCCGTGCACTCTCCGGCGTCGAGCAGCAATATTCTCAAACTGAACGGGAAGCATTGGGTGTCAAGTTTGGCTGCCTTCGCTTTCACCACGACTTCACAAGGTGATCCACAGTTCACCGTTTTCGCCGACCACAAGCCGCTCCTGCAACTCAAGGCCGTCGGATCGAGACCTCCACCATGAATTGAGCACATGGTCCTCCGCCTGCAGGATCTCAGCTTCCAGCTCCAGTACAAGCCTGGCCCAGAAAACCCGGCCGACGTCGTCAGTCGCAATCCGCAGCCTCATCCCGACTTGCCAAACATCGGCGCACAGGAAGACACTGCGTACATACATGCCCTAGCTACAGCAGCTAAGCCGAATGCGTTGGCTCTGAAGGAGATTGCGGACGCCACCACCGCAGACACCACACTGCAAGCCATCCTTTCCTCTCTGCAATCTGGCCGCTGGGATTCCAGCCACACCACGGTCCGCCCGTACTTTGCCCTCCGCCATGAACTGTCTGAGAGTGACGGTCTACTACTCCGCAACGACCGTCTCGTCATTCCCACGGCCCTCCAACGGCTTACCCTGCAGCTTACACATGCGGGCCACCAAGATATTGTCCGCACCAAGCAACGGCTCAACAGCAATGTTGGGTGGCCCAACATGGCTACTGAAGCCGAAGCACTCTGCCGGCAATGTATTCCGTGCCAAGCAACTCTCTCAACGACACCGCTACGTCCGGGAGTCCGTGCCCACACCACCGTCCACCAAGCCGTGGCAACGAGTCTTCGTCGATTTGTATGGACCCATGCCAAACGGTCAGCACCTGCTTGCCACTATCGACCAGTTGACTCGCTACCCGGTCATCAACGTGTTCAGCACGACACCCACTACGGCCGGTGTTGTAGCTCTGCGCTCTACATTATCCATGTTCGGCTTGCCCGAAGAGCTAGTCTCGGACAACAGTCCTCAGTTCCGTTCTTCGGCTTTTGCTGATTTCCTCGCGCAACACGCTATCCAGCACCGCCACACCCCTCCTTTGTGGCCACAAGCAAACGGAGCAGTCGGGTGCCTCAACCGTACCATAGGCAAAGTTCTGAGAACTGCCAAACTAGCTGGCGAAGACATCAATGTTGCATCTGACCAATGGCTCCTAGCGTACCGCACCACGCCACACCCTGCCACTCACGAGGCACCGGCAACACTCATGTTTGGTCGCCCCATCCGCGACAGCATACCCTGCATTACGGCAGCCGCACCAGACTTGCCTTCAGCTGCCCACCGTGACCAGCAATTCCGCCAATCCCAGTGCGACGCTGCCAATGCCACCCGCCGGTCAAACGCCCCCATCCTCACTCCTGGTCAGCGCGTCTTACGCCGCAATGAGCAGGCACACAAGCTCTCACCACAGTGGGATCCCAACCCCTGGACCGTGGACCAGATCTCTGGGTCTACGGTGACGATCTCCAACTCAGCAACTGGCCAAAGATCGACTCGCCATAATTATGTCGTTCGTCAAGCCCGTAATTGTTGTCACACAGACAGCCCATCACCCACTACCAGCTGAAAGTTCTGCCACCACACCTTACAAAATTACAACAAAATCACATGCAAGAAGTCCTTTCACTTTGACTACTGCTCGTTGCGTGACATCACTCCTCACCAAAGGACTTCCTGGGGATCACAATCCTAAACAGACAAATGTACGAATACCGCAACTGACTCTGTTGTTCTGCACGCCACGATCAACACGACTGCGTGCAAGACACAGCTGATCATCGTCGCTGTACTCTTCCCTGAGCACGTTACCCTGTCGCTGCAGCCTGCGACGGACATTCCATAGTTCCACCAACTTGATGGCTTGATGTTCCCATTGACGTCGACCATGCGGTGTTGCCATTGACGACCTTCAACTTCAGGTCTTTGCCGTGGTCCGCACCATTCAAGAGATGGGCCACATTTGGTGTACTTTCACCCAGTTGGTCACTTATTTTAACCTTGCCGACTTTCCACTGCCGGACTGTTGCTTCAACAACTGGCGGAGAGCACATACGCATATCATCACTCTTCCTTGCAAACATCATTTCCGTCTCCACCACGTCCTTATCAGCCTGATCCATGCCTGACACACCCAAGGCACTGTCCACTGTGCCGCCGGGCTGGTGGAGCGACGGACCGATTCTCCAGTGACGGTCGTCGTCCACAAGGCTGTTGGAGTGCGCATCCAAGATGTGCTAGAGCTGTTCAGTGTCGTGCAATAGCTATCGCATGAGCTGATTGTTTAGTAACTGGTGGTGTTAGTGGACAGTATAGCGTAACTTGTAGTTCCTTGGTCTTTCTCTTTTGTATAAACAAACTAGTAAGCTAACGATAAACTAGTTACACTGAGACAATTCGACTGGCACAAATTACAACAAAATCACATGCAAAAAGTCCTTTCACTTTTACTACTGCTCGTTGTGTGCCAACCACCATCATCAGTGTGCGCATTGCGCCTGGTTTGGTGCATGCCTGGTGGAATCTGACATAGCGGCTGATGCAGTGAGCACGTCAGGTAACACCTAACGCATTGAAAATGACTCAACTATGACTTGGTTCGATTGCAAAAAACCTAATGATAGTGGTACCGAAACATTCGGGTAACCGGAGTAAGTGCCAATTGATATTTTTGGCTCCAGTCAGTCAAGTGATTCAATTGCAATAAAATTATATACGTATGGTGGAACTCACTTAGTACGTACCCGGGTAAGACATACACCTGCATAACACGGTCCTCTTTTGTCGCACGGATTTTCCTCCCATAAGCGCATATTCAGATGTGTACGGATACGACTGCTTCCTTCTGTTCATGTGGTTCATTGTCGCTGTGTTACTGTATGCAGATCTCACTCAGCTCTGCTCTCCGAGCATGCTGCTTCCAACACGACTTCCCGAAAGGTATGTATGGTGGCTAATAAATAATGCGAGAGTCTTTACGGATTCCAGTGCTCTCATGCCTTTTGCAAGTTCCTTTTGTAAGTCAAATGGAACATGGTTTGTGGTCAATACTTCAGCAGTAGTGGTGCGAGAATATTCGGGTGTCAAATTGCTCGGAATTGATGTATGATAACGGAGAATATACCAACATGTGAATCACTTGGAGATATGGTTTGCCAGGTTCTATTCACACTCACTAGGCTAGACCCTCTCGAGTATTGTACAACAGTTTTGGCCCAGGAGTGGTAAAGGGCACGGGGCAAGCTATGTCGGGACCTGCTGTAAAGTCTGCCATACACGAGCTGTACGTCTTATCGGATGGGATATACCCCTGATATTGCTGATAATGAATGGCCCAGTTTCATTGTACTGCTGTCCGCGATATTATATCCTTAGTGGCATTGTTAACTTCTCATTGCTTGTGGGGACGCATGGATCATACGTCCATCCAACACCTGCCAATCGGAACCCACCGACAACGCTGTCGGTTGGGTTGGACCACAATCGGTTGGTTTTTGAGTCCAAGATGCCACCTAGGTAGCACACAGCATTGCTAATCTGATTTTAAATTAGCTGCGCAAATCCTGGCATACTGCCCGTAAATGCATCTAACTCCCAGGGTACTTATGAGTTTTTAGGTCTATGTGGTACTTGTGTCGCATTGGCAGCCACTGTTCCGTTCTGTATTTTCTGGTCTATGTGTCGTTGAATCTCCACAGAAAATGTGCTCGCGCATTAGAAGGAGGTGAAAGATGCACCTGCAGGAGAATACATGCTTAAGAGAAGGCAGAAACATGCCCGGATCCACCAGAACTAGTGCTGGCAAGTCAACAGAGGCGAGTACTGATAATGTTCCAGATTGTGGTAGGATCACATAAGCAAAATTGACACTGGGAGGCACGGCGGTGGGTCAGCTCATGGCCAGCGCCAGCTCCAGTGGATATCACGTGCATCCAGTTCTAGTACTATAGTATGACTGCTACAAAGTAGTGCGGCCCAAATAGAACTCGGGTCAGGTGCCGAAGAACTGGGGGGGGGGGGGGGGCATGTATCAATGAATGGTAATAACTCCGGAAATCATGCTGGTGTATCGAGGGCGTGGGCCAATGAAGTGCTGGATTGATGGTGGACGACTGTACTGCAATCTTGGCTGGTCCCACTATCGCAGAGACAGCACTTCCTGGTGCAACCACCCTATCCTGCAATCTATATAATAATTATTATAAGAGATTTGTGTGAACGATTTTAGCATGATGCAAGTCAGCTTATTGTGCTGGGGCCTGGCTACATGTCACTATAGCTTTTTATAGACTCGATCACCGCATTACGCTGCTTTGCGTTGACTTGATTGAGCACTCTTTTTGGTTAGTGTCAAAGGTATATGTAATATGTATCTGCCTTCGTGCAAAGCTCTCTTTGTGCGTGTCTTGCAGATAGCTCGCTGACTTTGATGCTTTGAGCCATTTTCAAATTGCTTTTTTTGTTCATTTCATATAGACCGTATTGCCATTTGTTTAACCTCCCGCTCTGAGCTCCACTGATGGGACCTAAAAAAGGCTGAAACAGCTGTCTGGAGATTGAGCGTCAGTATTATGGATTTAGAATACACGATCTGGGGACAGCACTAGTACTGTCTAGCTGTTTCGTCCTTTGTGGACTCATTAGCGAATCACGGAGATATAACTCTTAACTAAGGATGAACCTAGCAGCCATGAAAATAGATAAATAATGCCTCCAAGCCAGAATTCAAGGCTACATGTGTAGGCCCGAATGTGCCTTGCCCAAGTGCTGAAACTGATAAGTCATTGAGATACGCATAGAACATCTGGCAAAGGAACTACTAAAGCCCCCACAAGCACGGTATTCTACTTCAACAAGGAAGAATTTTGAAAGCATGCACAGCCCTACATGTATAATGTTGGTATAGGTAAGCCTTGTTTGATAAATTAACATGACAAGGCGGGGGACGCACTGTGTTAAAAACAGTGCTCCTGATACACTAGTATGTCCTCGGCTTTGTCACATGCTGTCAATCGATCAACACATACAACGTTGCATGCAAAACGGCTGCAGCCTCGAAGTACGGAGTGCTATTTTGGAAAATGCTAGATGTACAGCCTGTACTTATACAGGTGTTCTATCAACTAGTGCCATTATGACAACGGTAGCTGAATGATACATGTACATAAACCCGGGGTCATCATTTCAAGAACCTCTGGGTCTAAGCCCGAAGTAACATTCAACTACATGACTGTATACACCATCATGTATACACCATCTTCGTAGTAACTGAGTCTACCCCTCACCCACTACTGCCACTGTGACCACAATTGTGCACAAACAGAGGACCTTAGAGGACCTACTTCTAACTACAGTGCTGGCCAAAGAAATCCAACCTTATGAATAAAATTGCACCGGACGCTACGCAGCCCTAGTAGTAAACATACTGGACCGGTCTGTGCTCTCGAACGCGGCGCTACTTTATTAACGAGGTTGGAGTTCTCTGGCCAGCACTGTACAAAATACACACATGCACACACAACACTGCTAGGCTTTCCACCACCACACTAGGTTTTGAAACCGAAGAGTGGCAAAATTCAGGGCCAGACTAGAAAATCTGGGGAGACCTGATGGTTTTTTAAAGCAAAACACAGCCAACACTCTGCAGCCTCACAGCCTCCGGCAGGTTTTCCCGAGCGCACAAAATTAAAAGTTGTTGAGGCACCACGAATACAGTCGGGCGTCACAGAACGTGGGACCCAGGAATGTACGTGTATACCTCTAGGTACACCACAGCCAATAACGTTTTAAAAAGAAACGCAGTGTCAATAGACTCGAGTCTCTGCTTTTCTGGAATACAGATTCTGCTACACACGTATTGCTCACTATCCAGTGGGATGTGCATCTAAGAAAGTGGTACAAGAAGTCAAGGAACTAAGCCTAAGGCCAGATTGCTGAAAGGTTTTGTATAACTGACGAGCCTGACCCCTTGGAAACAACAGCTGTGGATGCGTGGCTCTACTGTAATAAATGTACAGGTACACAAACAATTTGAATGCAGAAATAACAACAACAAACAGGGAGAGGTGTAGGAAAATATACTCGGCCCCTAGTGAATTTGCTTGTGTATTAGCTTGAAAACTTTGGGTACACTTGTTGAGAGACCTAACTGCATGCAGCTAAAATATGGAGTGCCGTTGTCACCGACGACTTTTCCAGTAAAGTTGCGGCTAAAATCTTCTCAGGTATTCCCGGGTCTTCGCTAAGGCCGTAAGGGTGGATGATATCATGTGCGTCTTCTATTGCTGATGTCGCTACACTCGATGGTGGTGCTGATGTACTGATTGTGGTGGAAGATATTGAGATGCCGTATGTCTCGAACCTTTTCGCTAGGTCTCCGCGGCCATCGCGCAAGAGGGTCGGGAGCACCACAACTGCAACGCCACAGATCCAAGGATCGATTCTCGGACAAAACATTCTTCAGATTGCCAAAGGTCCCCCAAGAGGGTCGGGAGCACCACAACTGCAACGCCACAGATCCAAGGATCGATTCTCGGACAAAACATTCTTCAGATTGCCAAAGGTCCCCAGTGCTTGGCAATACTGGCCTGTACAGCATGAACACACCACACATACGCCCACACACCATGTACCATGTAAACGCCCGTTGCAGGAGAAGCACGCAAATCTGCAAATGAATTGGATGTGCACCCACAGATTTTCTCGTATAGGAACAATAGCTGATCTGAATCTGAATAAAACAGATCAAGACTAGTGCCAGATAACAGTCTAATCCGCACAAGGCAACTGGCGCAGCCATGTGAATCTCGAGCAAAATGGACAAACATGTCCCCAATTATCAGCAAACGGGTGTGCGTTACAGGATTGGCCTGGCAACTTCAAACAGGCACAATCCACTAACGTGGTGCCCCGTCAACTTCAACGGGAACACACCGATACAAACACAGCCCCACAACAGCAAAACGGGAACGCCGTTACAAATATGGTGCCCTGGCAACTTAACGGGAACGCACCAACACAAGCTGGCCTGGCACCTTCAAACAGGCACAACTGACAAAACACGGCATCCGGCAACAGCAAATGGGTAGGTACACCGTTACAAGAACAGTCCATCGCACCAAAATGCTGCTGCCACAACATTATAGCAGCAGCACGCCAGACATGCATACATGGCATTCCCAAAAGCAGATACCTGGAGTCAAATTCATCCATCACACTGTTTGTTAGGGCTGAATTTTCCAGTGACAATAGGAAATCCCGCCTAAGGCTCATGTGATGAGATCTGTACACCAACTCGGGGTATATTCTAGGACGAATTTCCAACCGGTTACGGTACAATGAAGAGTCGGGGGGTCCCCCTCCGGAAAAGTTTTCAAAATACAACCCAAATATGGCACTCGACAGCAATTTAACAGATTTCTTGGTGCTGGAGTGTCGCGCGGAGCTGTTGGACTGTAGCAACGCCGTTGCTACAGCTCGATGACGTGGTTCGACCGTACAAACCGTACAAACTCGTGACCCTAGTACCAGCCCACGCGGCTTCGCTGGAAGTATCCATCCAGAAAAAAGCGTATGACCATTCACAGCTCCATTCACCCACAGAAAAGTACGGGCGGTTGGAACTGATTTGTAACTTTTCAACCGGTCGCCAACTATTTCAACCGGTCGAAAACCGGTTGGGGCGGTTCTAGAAAATTCCCTGCAACTATAGTCACAGTATCAATGCACATCAGTAGAGCATAAGAACTCACTTGCGCTCATACCCTGTCACGTAGAGATGCTACTCTACGTGTACTGTTCCGATGTCCATTGGGGTGGTATGCCGGCCACTTGCCAGATGTAGAGCTTTTAAGCCGTACTTTGCCACCGTCTGCTTGCCGTATCACCACCTCACTTGCAACTCTGGATTCCAGGACTGTCGCTCCAACAATGGGCATGGAGCAGGAGCTAACCTGATAACAGTTGAGAGCGTGACAGAGTATCTTATGTAAATAAGGCCGAGTAAGGTGGATCCCTTTGGCAAAAGTGAACACAGGCTTGGTGCTACAGGTATGGGCTGTCATGTACCGGAATAGCCAATACCGGGCATGTTTGGTCGACAGTAGATGGAACTGCGACGGCTCCACCGTATATGGCCGCGTCTTAGTGACCTTCAGGCGCAACGTGACCAAGTCAGGTGCGAGACTCCCAGCCTCCCACACAAATACTCTTTGGCTGTCAAACGAGTGAATACTAGTAGATGATGCTAAATACTCGCTGGCAAACAATAAGCCATACAAGGCCAGTAGTATACTTACCCACAGCATAGCCTGATCTACAATATGACTGATTGGATCGTTGTAAGTATTGCCGAAAATGGATTAAGTCGTCCACTAAAAGCTCTTTGAAACTCGGATGTTGAGCCAATATGGCAATAATAAAATTAATGTAGAAAGGAAAAGGACGTATGGATATGAGTGTAGAGTAACTGTCACTATATACTAAATACAGTCAGAAAGTGCAACAACCAGGCACTAAAACATTTGACGACCCGACTCCTGGCTTCAACACATATCCGTAGTGTTAAGGAGAGACCAAAGAGGGAAAGGTAATACTGGTTTCGTCATCGTCCAGTAACAATCAACATTTCTTGTTCTTGTGGGACTGTAGCTTCAACTACTAGCTTGTGCTCATTTTCGTTGCGCTTACCTTCCCCTCTTTGGTCTCTCCTTTTAACCTTGAACCTTCCAAGTTGGAAGGCTGTTGGTTAGCGCTACGGAGATGTGTTGAAGCTAGGAGTCAGGTCGTCGAATGTCTCAGCACTCTGTCAGTTTTGTGCCTAGTTGTTGCATTTTTTTACTGTAGTAGCTAGTTACAGTGGTGGACAGTTACTCTTAACTCGTATCCATATGTCCTTTTCCTTTCTAATAAAAGCTCTATCCGCAAATATGCCGAGGTGGCTTGCCGTATCTCCCTCTATGCCATGCAACACAACTGTTGAGCGAGCAGCTTTTAGGCCAGCCCCATTGCACAACAGGTAATAGGCTACTAATAGCGTAACGCAGCTAGGTAAACACGAATCGATGAAAGAGGCAGACTTCTTAGAACTAGTTGTGAAGGACACAACATTTTCAGCAGTCAGCAGTAGGAGAAATTGCTTTTAATTATGCAGCAATACTAGGCTTACACGTTTGTGTCATGCGTTCTGAGACGGAGTCCTTGACTAGCTCGTCACTGGCCGCACTCAGAGCAGCAGTCGTCACTACACATGGGTTGGGAAGCAATGGACAAAAATAACACTTGCCATGCACACACGCACTGCTTACCAGCTAAGTTAATATGTCATACTGTACTGCAGCAAGCAAGGAACTGGCAATACCTGCACCAGGCCTATCTACTGTGACCCATGCCATTGTGAATGAAAAGAGGCAGCATTTGACAGTATGAGCGGTGTGATGAACGGGAATGCATAATACAAGCCAGTCGAGCATTGGTACATGTACTTACGGACGCAAGTTGGCTGCACACCGCTCCACTGGCCGTTGATTTCACAAGTACACACGGCCGAGCCCATAAGGACATAGGGAGACTGCACACAAACGTGGTCGTGTTGCTGAACATCAAGCCGTTCACGGTCATTGAGCCCAGTGCCGGTGGTGACAGGACCTGGCAGTCGGTTTGACCTGCACAAGCACAGAGTGCACAGAGCACAGAGCACAGGCATTCAGTGCATGCATGTTTGGCCTAGGGGTGAAACGAGTGCCAAAATTGAGGACTCGAGTACTCTTTGAAAAAACGAGCGAGTATTCGAGCGAGTACGAGTATTTTACTGACAACATAAAACAATGTACTGCACACACTCTCGTAACACTGAACGTATTACACCTGACACATGTAGTCTTGCATGCAGCCTAGTGCAGGAAATAGTCTGAACTACGTCTTTTGTTGGTAAGTAGGGACAAGAAATAATTTCACACTTGCATGGGTTATCAGTACTGGTCAGAGTAACAGACGTGCTTGATGTACAAGCATACAGTACACTGTGCATAAGACACTTGAGTATTTTGCGAAACGAGTCCTCACTCCTTTCGAATTTTCGAGCAAGCGCTCGAGTATTCGATATACTCGTTTCATCCCTAAAACGTTTGCGTATGTGTGCGTGGCACAGACATTGGTTTTGAATACATTGTAGTACACGCATTGTGTAAAGGAAATTGATGCGAAGACTGCCTCAACATGGCCATGCAAAGTAATAAAATAAATACAGCAGTGAATAGCGGTCAACAGTAGCTCTACATTTTGCTTGTAATAGAAGTCATTAGCGTCAGAGCAAGAAGAGGGACAAGACGAGTCAAGGGACAATCCGGAGGACGCAATATCATACGACCAACTGTTTGTTTCTACCAGCGTTATTGTACCGTCGACACAGCTCTGACGACGATATACTGGGCGAATGCCGCGGGGCCTCCCAGCGTGTCAACGGCAGTGGGTGATGGGCAGATAACAAGGTAGCTTGCGGACAACATCGGTGGCATGAAGCCTAGTGACTGCCAAGCGTCTTGGCGCGACGGGCGAGCAGTACAGTGTCATGCCCCAGGGGCTGCTGTGGCCGTCGACGTCGGCGGGTCTGGAGGTGCGTTCGCAGGCCTTCATGGCGCTCGGACAACTGCAATACTAGTACACAGACTCTCACTACTAGCTACATAGTACTCTGATTCTGGCACGTTATTTCTGCATTGAATAGTGATTGATTTTCCGCGCCGAATATCCGACGCTGCATGCATGTCCAATGCGCGTCAACAGTACTTCACACTTTCCTTTTCCCGCGTTATCACCTCAGCTATGCCAGTTTTGTATGTGGAAACCCCCTATATAATAGCAGTTTGGTCTATATTTTTAATCATTCAATATCTACCTTCACTGATGAGCTATGTATTAGCGAAACAGCTGTCTGAAGGAGTTTATCAATATCGTCTACGGAAGTGTCCTCGCAATGATGATGGTTGTGTGCAGGAGGGTCTAGTCGGCTAAAGAGCGCAGTGTGGTGGTGGAGGTGACTCAACATTTTCTTCAATGGCCGAGAGCTCTGTTGCACCCTGTAATAATAATAGAAGTCATGGTACTACTATCAGTGCTGCTGCTGGTGCTTACCTGGAGCTGGTGTGACCTTGCCTGGGCAGTACTGTGCATCAGAGCCATCAGCACAGTCGTACCAAACACCGTCGCAGCGCTGTGATGGCAGGATACAGCCACAGGCTGGAACGCAGGCAGGGCAGGTAGCCAGACTGGCACTGCAGTTGAATGGCTGGATACACGTACCTATACACACAACACACAAAGCAGTCAAGAGATGAAGAAAGTGTCTGCTCGGCACATCTTTTGTACAGTCAAGAGATATTAGCATATTTGGAGGAGGTGGTAGCCTTAAACAGGCTCGACAAAAGTTACCGGCTTATGCCAACAACTCAGTGTTCTGGTAGAGTAGACGGTTCGATACCGGAACGCCTTGACAGCCAAATTTGTATAGACCCAAACCGATCATCAGCGTTGATTTTTCACTCGAAATATGTTTGTGGAAGGAAACTGGCATGTTGAAGTTTGCTCTGGGGCCAGAGTCAATCGAACTGAGCCACTCCTTTGTGTTGACCCATTGCCTCCAAGTTACCCAATTTTTCGCTTCAAAAAAGTTCAAATCAGAGGTGGCTCCAAACCGGACACGTTTTAGAGTGCACGTCAAATTCACTTTGGGTCTGAAATTAGCTAATTGCTATCGCTCCACGACAGCCAGTACAGAGTAACAATAAGCCTTGTGTGTGCTTCCATTAAGTTAGTTTTGATTGGTATGCGGTGCTTTATTGGCAAGAGGCGAGCCGCTGTTTACCTGCGACAAGAAGTTGATTTTTCGAAAGTCGTAAAACTCAAGTCACAGTGCGAAGCAACACGTCAAAAACTCACCTGCTTGGTATGGCGCGTCTGGTCATCGCAGAGCCATGAAATTTTGGCTCGGAGTATAACACATCGTAGTCTCACTGTGACATATGTTTTCTAATCAAAATACCAAGAGAGAAAGTGAATATTGAGTCCGTTCCGGTTTGCAACCTGTGTCCAAACCGTCGCCTCTACCCGGTGAAACACCCTAACCATACACCTACAAGTATAACATATCCTAAGGACTCAGGCTGAGATGCCCGACTGGTCCTGGGTCCTGTGATAAGCACGATCATCATTTGTGATGATGAAAAGTGGCAGGTAACACCCAGACTATTACATGCTCTGTAAATAGGAAAGATCAACGCCACCAGAATCTGCCTTCCTACAAGCCTGAAGCTTCTCTACACAAGAGGGATATATCGGCTCTCTTGAAATTCAACTTACGATTACATGAGGCAGCTGCCCCACTCCAGGAACCGTCAATCTGGCAGATGCGCACAATGCTTCCCTGCAGGTTGTATCCGGAATTTCAGCCGAAGACGACGCTGCCTCCAGCAGAATAGTTTGTGCCCTGGGAGTAGCCGTTGGTCGGTTTAGCTAGCGGTGTGCACACACCGGCTGTACACGTCACAGGCACGTACACACACAGGCACGTGCACACACAGGCACACACACACACACACACACACACACACCTTGACCTTGATACACAAGGATTCTTCATTATTTGCCACGTTTGAGCTGAGATCATCGCGCTTTGTTGCAGTGTGCTAAAAAAACAAGAACAAAAAAAGCGGCCAAAAAAGTGGGGCGGCTGAGGCCGCCCCAGCCACCCCAGCTGTGCCGGCCTTGCATGCCTGGTGTACGGTCTGAAAGATGAAAGATGGAGCTCTTGTATACACGGGCCCGGAAAGTCTGCTTCGCCTGCTCGGCAGCAGCTTCGTAGTGGTGGTCAAGGGTCGAAGACCGACGGATACGGATCAACTCCCCAGTGATCACACCTTTACCCATACTACGGGGGTGGTTACTACCGGCAAGCAGATACAGGAAACGATTGGTGACCTTGAAATGAGGCTTCACCGCCATGTATCCCTTACTACGGAAAACTGTGGTGTCCAGGAAATCAATGCCATCATGTGCCAGTTCATGCGCAAACTCGAGGGCCGAACACTTATTAATTCTGTCTAAAGCACGCTGAACTTGACCTTCGCAACCATGCAATGAAACAAAAATGTCACTGATAAAGCGTCTATAAACCTGAACCTCTAAACCCTCCCCCTCTAAGATCGGCAAAATGTACCGATTATCCAAATACAGCATAACAATGTCGGCATAGACCACTGCTGCAGGCGAACCCATAGCAGTCCCTTGGATCTGCGGAAACAAATCGTTATCTTACACGAACCCGTTAGTCTTCCGAATGACTGACATCAAGGAAGTTACTGCTGTTGTTAACCGTGTACGAAGGGCCGGGGGCATCCACCTTGTATACCTGTGTGTGATATACCACGACAATGCCACGTGACCGAGCTCGTTGGGGATGCTGGTGTAAAGGCTGGTCACATCTATACTAAAAATAAATGATCGTCCCGCACAGGCAAACCTTCTACGAAGTTGATGAAATCCGTAGTTCAGGCCAGAACAGTACTTTCCTCACGTAC